GTGGGAGCTTCCAGAAGGCCAGGTGGGCTGCAAAGGAGGAGCCTAAGGTGAGGAGGAGCATGGAGGGCATCCAGAAGCCGCCCCGCCGGGCCCTGGCGCAGCGCAGGGACTCGGCAAACAGCTGCAAGCAGAGGGAGAGCATCCCAGGGGCTCCCACCGAGCCCTCCCCTGGCACGCAGCAGCATCTCCCCGGGAAGAGACTGTCCTTCCTTCTTGCATCACTCTCTCAGAAAAGCATCAGGGCTGAAGAAGGGGTCAGAGATGTTGTAGGTGCCACGGAGAGGGGCAAAAGCCCTGAGCTGGTCCTCAGCCTGGAGTCGAAGGGACAGGCTGCCTCGGAGGAGGAGCCAAAATACGAGAACGTGACCAGTGGCAGTGCTGATTCACTCCCCAGCCCTGCCAAGGAGCCACCAGCCCCCCCTGCAGCCACCTGAGCCATCACTGCCAGGGCTGGGCCACTGGGAGACCAGGAGGCTCCTCCGACCCCAGCACGGGGGGAGCTGAGGCCCCCCTGGGAGCTGTGAACTGGAGATTCATCAAGCCTTCCCGTGGCACCTCTTTCCTCCATAGAATTACAGACTGGTTTGGGTTGGAAGGGGCCACCCTTGAACCCTTCCAGGGAGAGGGCAATGTTGCCACGTTGCTGGTGTGAACCCTCACGGGCTGGTGCAGCTGGAGGGATGGGTGATGCCCAGAGCCACCAGCGGTGGCAGCCCCAAGGGGGTTTCTGGTGCTTCAAGGCTGTTTTCTGCTCCCTCCTGCCCTGTTTTGTGTCTGCCGCAGCCAGCAGGGGCAGCGATGCTCGGGACATAGTGGTGGCACCTTCTAGTCCCTGTCAGCGTTGGGTCTGGGGACACACATCCTCCTCCAAAGGGAGCAGGGCTGCTGGGGGCTCTGCTGGGAACAAATGAATTTCATCCCTTTGGCTTTCACCTTCCCTGTCCCAGCTCTGGTCATGCTGCTTGGAGCCTCTTGCTGTAAAGGTGCTTCTTGCTGGAGGGGATTACTTCGTGGAGCTGCTCTAGGGAGAGGTGACAGGCTGTCACAAGCAGCTTCAGTGAACATTAATTTTAGCTGCTTATCTGGAAGGGTATCTGGGTCTGCAGGGGTTTATCCGTGTGGCTGTGGCTCTGAGGGCAGGCTCTGGCTGCCTTTGTTCCTGTGTATCCTGTTGGCACACGAGAAGGCTGGTGGCACAGCCCGGGGTTTATCGGTCTCCTCGTGCTCCAAGAGCAATTGTGCAAGAGCAAACGTGGCAGCTGGGCTGTGAACATCAACCGGTGCACCCAGCCCTGATAAGGATGAAAACTGCATGGAAAATGGCATTTCCACAGGTGCCAGAAGCTCCTGCCACCTCCACAGCTGCCCCTGCTGCAGCAACACCTCCCCACGGCGGGGCTGAGACGCGGTGAAGCTGCTGCAGCATCTCCAGCACAGCTGGAGGACCTTGGGTGGCACCAGGGCTCTGCCACCTCTGCAAGGCAGGTGAGATGCCCAAGAGGATTTGCAGCATGAACTGGCTTGTGGGTTGTTTTTTTTTAGATGTATCTAAGTGGTAGAAGTTTCTTGTACATTTTTCTGCTCTTTTCACATGGCGTGAGAGCCTCTGCATGAAACTGACAATTAAAATGTTACCAAAGCCCTTCAGGAGTTGGAATCAAAGACAAGACCAGAAATATTCTCCAAAGTGTGGACACTATTGGCAGCTTCAGACTTTCAGGTTTGGGGCTTTTTTTAATTTAATTTTCTGCTTCTCTTGAGCTAATTCTGACCTCTCACTGCTGGAGCTGAGCCCGGAGCAGTGCTGGGGAGCAGAGGGCAGAGGGAGTGTGAGCAGCCAGAGCATGGGTTTTGCAGCCTGCATCTCACTTGTCATGTGTGGAGCTCCATGGGAATCCTTCTGGTCTGGCACTGCTGAGGTGGGGTTCAGGGTTCAGGTGTTCCAGCAAACAGAGTGATTTTTTTGCTTTTCCCTTTTTGCTTTTCACGGATGCTCCTTCACAGCTCAAGGCACCAAATCCCCATGGGACCCACATGGCTGAGGCTCCCAGTTTTGCAGAGAGCCTGCAACACTTTCCTGCAGTGCTATCACCCACCACCACCATTATAACATTGTTCTGCTCTACAAATAAAAATGCTCCAGGCTTGAGCAGCAGCCTGGCCAGATTCTTCTGTGCAGGCTCATTTTTGTTTCGACACTATTTTATTACACCAGCAGGAACAGCCCCACATCTTATTTATAAGCAGTCATATATATGTATTTAATCCTAATCAGTTGGATATTTTCAGCCTGGGAGCTGAGCAGCCTTGTGCCAGAAGTGAACACCACGTGAGTGGATATGGCATGTAAAGAGCTGAAAACAACCTGACAGCAGAGGCTGCAACCAGCACCAGAGGCAGCAGTAGCATTTTTCTCCAAGCTGGGTACTGGTTCCAGCCTCTCCTGTGTTGAGCTGCCAGGTGGGATATTTCCCCTGGCTGAAGATGAAGCATTTCCACCCCTCCAGGGTGGTGGCCACCCTGCTGTCTTCTTGCTGGGGATGTTTTGGTCAATCTTGGGCACAGTTGTTGGTTCAGGATGCAGGAGGTCTGCAAGCAGGAGGGTGAGGGAGGGGTTAATGTGTCTTCCCGTGCTGGATCCCAGACTTCCCAGACCCTGCTGCAGTGGTCGGTGGGAAGCAGCTCGGTGTACAGGTCCTGTCTGTAAGCAAAGAAGCAGCTTTCGGCCTTCCCAAGGCAGGAACAGAGGCTCAAGCTGTCCCCCCATGGCCACGTGGCAAGTCTGTCCCCTGTCACCATTGCCTTGTCACCTCCTTTCTCAAGCTGCCCCTGAAGAGGACCATGTCATGGCTTCAAGGACCTCCCCGTGTGGCCGGCAGGAGCTGTCACCTCCTTTCCAGCCTAAACTCATTCCTGCCCAGTTTCTACAACTGGGTCTTTGTGCCAGTGCTGTTCTGCAGTTCCACTTCGTTGTTTTTTTTTTTCTCTCCGGGATGTTTACTCAGTCCCGGGGTGTATTTATAGCCGGCAGCGGATCACCTGACGGCTGCTTCGCTCCTTCTAGGATAGGAAAACCGAGCTCCCTCCTGCTGCTGCCAAGGGCTCCCGTGTCCCCAGGCAGCCCCCGAGCCCTGCTCCTGCTCCTGCTCCCTCCCCCGGCAGTCGGGGCTCCTCGGGCACAGTCTGGGTGTTCCTTGGGCACAGTCTGGGTGTTCCTTGGGCACAGTCCGGGGGCTCCTCGGGCACAGCCTGGGTGTTCCTTGGGCACAGTCTGGGTGTTCCTTGGGCACAGTCTGGGTGTTCCTTGGGCACAGTCCGGGGGTTCCTCGGGCACAGCCTGGGTGCTGATGTCTGCCTTGCTGTCCCAGCCTTCCTCCACCTCTGCGGGAACCCAGCACTGCCACCGCCTGCCTTGTTTTCTTTGGGCTTCTCGGAGTTTTGTTGGGTTTTCTTTGTTTGCTTTGGCTTAAATCCACTTTCCAGCTGTTGCAACGTTTGACCCTTATCCCCGCAGCCCAGGCCGAGGAGTTTCCTCCTCCCACCCTCCCTTCCCCAGGGATGCAGCACCGGCTGCACGTCCCTCTCTCCGGGCTCTCAGCTTCCCTGGAGTTTCTTTTCTTTTACCTGCCCTAAGTTCTCACCTCACTCGGCCAACAAACTTCACCTCCTGGTGATTTCCAGGGGTCGGTGGGCAGGACCCCCCGGTGGGATGCCTGCCGGGTGTAGGGCAGGGCTGGAAATCCCGCAGAGGGGGGGGTTGAGAAATAACTGCCGGTAAATCAGCGGGTTTGCCGGGCCGGGCCCCCCCGGGGCGCTGCAGGGACCTGACGCCCCTTGCAGGAAGCGGGGGGCGGTGCCGGTGGGCTGGGGCGTCGGGGGATGCTCCCCCGGGGGTGGGTCGGTACCTGCCCCCCAACTGGCCTTTAACGGGGGGAACAGCTTTTCCGCTCCCCCCGGGATGGGGCTGGGGGGGAGGTGCCGGTACCC